GCCGTGAGGACCAAGTGCAGCCCGGGCTGCCTTTCCCGATCCAGAGGCTTCTGCAGCACCAGCGCCGCGTACTTTTCCCCGTCCTGGCTCTCCCTGACCTCCAGCACGAAGTTGGCGTTGGAGCTGAGCTGGTAACTCTGCAGGGAGTTGGAGCCCACGTCCGGGTCTTCTGCATTTCCGAGGAGAAAGCGGGCTCCTGGCAGCGTCAATTCATTGATCTCGAGGGTATTTTTATCTTGTATGAAGCGCGGCGCGTTGTCGTTGATGTCCTGGATCTCGACGTTGATGTGGAAAACGTTCAGTGGATTTTCCACCACGGCTTCGAAAGCGAGAGCGCAGAGCGGGGCCTTCCCGCAGATTTCCTCCCGGTCTATCCGGTCACTCACGTACAGGTTCCCGTTTTCGCCCTTCACCGTGAAGTATTGTCTTCTGGCTGCAGAGACAACCCGGAGCCTGCGACCAGGCAGCTCTTGCACAGTCAGCCCCAGATCCTTGGCGAGATTGCCCACGAGGGACCCTTTGGGCTTTTCTTCTGGGACCGAATAGCGAATCTGCGCCGAGACAGTCCCGCAGAGCAGAGACAGCAATAGAAGAAGGTATAGTACTTGCCGCCCGGCCGCCTGGCCGCTGTGTGCGCGCCGTGTTTCCATTGCCGTCCCCTGGAGAGTGTTTCCCAACTTGTATCTTTTCTCAGTGTCGATCGTATTAGGCACTGAGCAATCCCAGCCAAACGGCAGCAGGCAGGGCACAGGCTAGAGCACTGGGTCCGCGTTCCCTACTCAGTATCTGTCCCGACCGCTTTGCTAAGGTTTCTTTTCCTTTCTCAGCGGATCCAGAAGGTCTCTCTGCTTTGTTTCTTTCCTGCTCTGCTCTGTCTGAGCAAGCGCACTGCAGGAGGCTCCAATGGATCCCAGTCTGCAGCGCCGCTCCGTATTGGCCAACAGCGGCACTCGGAGTCGCAGTCGGGGAACTGCAGTGATCTGACCAGACGCCGCTGCTGCTGCACTGATGAATGCACAGGACTTTGTCCTTTCCTAAAGGAATATGCAGCGTGTATTTAGCGACGCCATTGTCGTGCAGCCCAGAAGTTCTGCAGTCGAACCTAATCTTCACCTCGGGATGCTCTTATTATATATAACTATCGGATAAATACTACTGTGAAACTTACTCTCGCCTGCCTGTTGTTTGGGTTTTTAAATGGAAATATTTATCTGAATGTGTGGAGAATATCTGGATCTTCCTGCATCTATCTATCTATCTATCTATCTATCTATCTATCTATCTATCTATCTATCTATTATCAATGCCTAAGTCTCTCTGTCTGTCTGTCCTAAGGCTTTGTTTTTATTCTGACTGTAACAGCCAATCAGAGTGCTCCAAGCCTGAGAACGCTACAGCCCAGAGGACTGGAAGCGGGTGGGGGAGCGGAGGCCAACGCTGGCCTCAGCTCCCGCACGCCACTCCCTGCAAGAAGCAGAACAGCAGCAGCATGGGGCGTTAGGTGGGGGCACTTCTTCCCAGCCCCCGCCCCCGTCATTCTTGAGGACAATTGGCTAGTGTGTATATATATAAGAATGCGACCTTTCTATGATTTTTAACCCTTTTTCATCGGTCATATCCATGCATGCCCAAAAGCACTCGAGATCCATCTAAAGAGATTCAGAAGTGTTTGACAAACCATTTTTAAACTGAGGGTGACAGGAGGAAGTCTCAATTCTACAACTTTTTGCAGAAACATGTTCTCATTTCTTTCTCCCGTCATTGTAAATTCTCTTTTTCTTTCACAGTTGTCTGCCAAAGAAAGAGGGTCTAAAACTATTAGGAATCGTTTCTTTTGTTCCGGGCTATACCAGAAATACAGATAACAGAAATCTCCTTCATCCTCACCTGCATTACAGAAGACAGGTTTTCAACATCTGAGCACTCTGACATGGTGAATAATACATTGCTATTCAAAAGCTCCATATTGTTACATCATTTTGATACAAAGATGTTCAACTTTACAACCCTAACAAAATATAAATCAAAGTAAGTTTATATGCCTAATCCAATCAAGCTTTGTCAGTCTGCCAGCTTTTAATATCCCGTTATTAAATAAATATTCGATAATCATTCTTCCTTAATATGTCCCATCTTCACAAAGGGCAGCAAACTAGAATGTCAGAATTACAGAGGTATCATCCTATTAACATCTATGTATAAAAGTATTTCCTACCGTCTTGCTATGGTGCTTATTACCTTATACAGAAATATTGGGAGAATACCAGTTTGGATTTCACCAGAACCGATCAAGGACAGACCAAACCTTTTCACTAAGACAAATAGTTGAGAAAACAATGGGAATTGTAATCAAAGGTTGTAATGACACATTCTGTTCATAGACTTGCAGAAACCATATGAGAGCATACTGAGACAAGGTCTTTGGGTCATTTTAGCTGAATCAGGAATTCTCAACAAACTAATTGGATGAATTCAAGTTTGCATGCATAAATCAAGAAACAGAAGTAGCTCCTTCGCAGGAAGATCGGATCCTTTCCCAATTAGAACAGGCTTGAGACAAGGAGATCGTTTGTCTCTTATCCCATTACACCTGGCGCTGGGAATAGTAATCAGAAGCATAAATAACATGAGGGGAGGAGTTCAACTGCATAGAGAGCCTTGCATATGCTGATGATATCAATCTCAAAAGTGAGAATATGAATGATATAGTAGCTCTATGTACCTAATTAAAAAAATAAAGCAAAGAAATTCAGATTAAAAGTGAAACTGATAAAACACAATATCTGCTCTAAACAGAACAGCAGTAAATCAGGGACCTCCCATAACAATAAACAACACAATTTTTCAGGCAAGTAACCCACTTCCAGTATTTAGACTATCATAGGACTAGATGGTAATATAAAGGAAGAAAATGAAGGGAGAATAGAAATTCAACCAAGAATGGAAACAGAGATTACTTTGTTTTGCACGAGCTCCTGTCATCCAACCAAACTCATCCCAAGGTAAACTAGGCTTCAAGTCTACAAAAACATAATCAGGCCATCTATAATTAAGGCAGTCAACCTTCGCTCACAAGCGAATGAGATATTATTAGATCGTTTTGTCAGCAAGGTTTTATGGAAATCATTTGTTGCACAGTGTGATTCCATAACACAAGAATGGCTCACAAGTGCCGCTAATGAATTACAGCAACTGTACAGAGACCCAGTCGTGACACAGGAAATAAGAGCGCAGCGATTACAGTTGCTGGGCCAGGTTGAAAGAGTGGAAGTGATCTGCACACCAAAGAAAGTGCTCCTCAGAGCTCCGGGAGGGGAGAAGGGTGCCCGGTTGACCAAGACAAAGATGGCTAAATGATACCGTTTCAGACCTACGGAAATTAAAGGTGGAGGACTGGAAGAGGAAGGCATACAACAGACGTTAATGGATGAAGATAGTGGAGGCAGCCAAGGGCTTCTGGTGTTATATTATTATCATCATCATAATTCTTATTTTTCCATGTGCTATAGAGAAATACAATCCCTTTTGGGACATTTTAGACTCTTAATTCAGATATTAACACAACCATTGTAAAACACATTATCATAAACTGTCACGATCCAAACATAGGAAAACAGAGACCCCGGTGACTGTAGTAGTTAAAAAGTGCTGTCGTCACTACCTCACTATAGACAGACCCTTCCATACCTTAAAGCCATAGGTACGAATTTCTGGTGCATGTGGAATTCAGGAATGACGTTTGGGTAGACTTGTATTTCAACTGGAATACACTGGTATATATCTATACATATACATACAACCAAGTCAAAGTTCTGTTGGAACACAGGATCCCTTCAGCTAACATGGCCGGGCCACAGCAGTTCACAGAGGTAAGAGTAGGCAAGGGAGTGAGGTGCCTCACATCACCTCGAGACTGCATGACCAAGTACCAATTCAAAGCCAGGTCCACTGGGGACAGTCTTCAACATGGTACACAGCACCCTCAAGAAACAAGAGCCTTAACCACCCTGACAACATAATTGTCATGTAAATAACAGGGTTTTGGGAACAGATTTCTTTAATGGATTGTTCTGCCCTGGTCAATAAAGGATTTTTTTTCCTTTATAGATTGCTATGTCATAGATTCCCCCGGGGGGATGAGAGGGGGAGAGACGCTTGCTTAGCACCTCTGCAGCCTTCCCTTGTCTCTCCAAGTGCTCCTGCTCCCCTCCCCGAAGCCAGCCATGCATGGCTTCTAGAATGGGAAGTGTGCAGCTCTGACTCCTTCCATCCTTGGGATCCTACCCTTTCAATCCCTCAACCTCAGCAGGTTTCCATGATGTTGTCTCAAAGTTTCCTTCCAGTTCTGCTCCTAAATAGGGACTTTTCCTCCTGTTACAGAGCAGAGTAGCTGAAGTTCCAAACAACAACACAGAAAGCTCCTCTTCAATTAAGGCACTTTAGGCAAAGGCCTTCCAAACAGAAGTTCTCTGCCCGCCTCATGAGGCTAAGCTCTCCCTCTGTCCCTTAAGGTATTCGGAGAATTTCGTTTCAGTCTGTTCAGCCATGATCCCCAAAACTGTTCAGAGGATCTTGCTCTTCAGACTCAGGTCACTATCCTGCTTCCTTGCTGTTTCATTCGATGTCACTCTTATCTCCCCCAACTTCCCAGGGAGCCTTCCGTGTAAGGCCTCGCAGGTCACTTTGTTTATGTGTCAACAAGGACATTCATATCTCTGCTGCTGCTGAAGATACCTCTGGTCTTTCCTGAATTTAAGATGTTCTAGCACTTAGCACTGGACCCTGCTAACCCTTCTTTCACTCTCTATTTAGTTTTAAAGAGAAACTGGGGAATGCAAAATTATATCAACAGAAATACATTTCAAAAGAGAAATATTACAATAAAGCCCATAGTTTGTCACAGCATCTGCAAGCCAAGTCGGAAGATGAAATATGTGTGGAGAATACAAAAACGGTGAAACATAAAGACAATTGGCCTTACGCACATAAAAGTACCCAAATCTGCAGAAAACACACAAAATTCAGAAAGAATGTTGAAGACAGGCATTCCTTTGCATCTATGGCTTTACTACAGCGGATCTGATCATCAAAGCCTACCTTTCTGGTGTTACTGATTAATAGTAATCAGTAACATAACCCCACAAAAGTTAGACCTTGACGGTCAAATCCCCTCTAGTAAAGCCATAGACTCAAAGGAATGGTGTCCTCAACATTCTTTCCGAATCACACGTAAAAAGGCCTTCCCCTAGTCAAGCAGTTTCAACATATCTACGGCTACTCGCCAAGACCGACTAAGAGAAGTCATAAGGTACAAAAACGTCGGCTCACCTGCAGCGCAGCCTGGTCCGCCTCACACACCTTTGAATCCTTATCCACCGGGGCAGGCTCCTTGCCCTGTCCCGCCGGCGGCCGAGGCAGGGTGCCGGCAGAGCTGGGCGGGCCGAAGCTCCACTGGCTCTTCCTGGAGCCCGCCGTGAGAGACACGTCCTGGGAGTAGGAGTGCAGGAAAGCGCGGACGCCGTCGATGCCCGCGAAGTGCGAGACGGGCACCCCGGCCAGGGCGCCGCCGGCCGAGCCCAGCAGCTGCGCCTGCCGCCAGCGGTCCCTCCGCCAGCCAGTACGTCACCCGGGCGTTGTCGCCCCAGTCCGCGTCGGCCGCCCGCGCGCAGAACACCGAGGCGCCGCGGGCGTTGTTCTCGCTCACCCACACGCTGTAGGCCGCCTGGCTGAAGGCCGGCGCGTTGTCGTTCACGTCCGACACCTGCACCGCGATCGTCGTGGCGGACCACAGCGGCGGCGCCCCGCGGTCCCGGGCCGTGACCGTCACGTTGTAATCCGCCACCTGCTCCCGGTCCAGGTCTCTGGCCGTCACTAAAGTGTAATATTTATCCAAGGATTTCTGCAGCCGGAAGGGGACGTGGTCCGGGATGGTGCATGTGACGGCGCCGTTCTCTCCGGCGTCCTGGTCCTGCACGATCAAGAGGGCGATCACGGTCCCTGGCGGGGAGTCCTCGGGGACAGAGCTGAGGAGGGAGGTGATCCTAATCTCGGGGATGTTGTCGTTCACGTCGCTGACGGAGATCACGACCTTCGACCTGTCGAAGAGGCCTCCGCCGTCGTGTGCTTGCAGCTGCATTTCATATAATTTGGTTTCCTCGAAGTCCAGGTTCCTGAACACCGTTATATCTCCTGTCCCAGGGTCCAACTGAAATATTTGGGAAGCCTGGTCTGTGATTTGCGAGGAGTATGTCACGTCTCCGCTAACTCCTTCGTCCAGATCCGTGGCTTTCACTGTAGCCACCGTGGTCCCGACGGGCACGTTCTCCCGCACGCTCACGCGGTAGAGCGGCTGGCTGAACACGGGCGCGTTGTCATTGGCATCGAGCACCACCACGTGGATCCGCGCCGTGCCGGAGCGGACCGGATCTCCGCCGTCAGTGGCGGTGAGGATGAGGTCGTGAGCAGCCTGCTCTTCCCGGTCCAGGGGCTTCTCGAGCACTAATTCGGGGTATTTAAAACCCCCAGATACAGTTTGCAGGGAGAAATGTTCGTTACTTCTCAGTTTGTAGCTCTGGAGAGAATTAGTCCCCAAATCTGGATCCTGCGCATTGCGCAAGTGGAACCGGGATCCTGGGGCTGTTGTCTCACTGACTTTTAATTCCATTTCCCCTGTTTGGAAGCTCGGAGCGTTGTCGTTTATATCTACGATTTCGACTTCCACTCCATACAGCTTCATGTCATGCCCCACTATAAGCTCGCAGTTCAGCAGACATTTA